GCGCTCTGGGCCCTTGCTCCATTCTCACAATGGGCATCAGCCCGTCCCGGCTCACCGGTGATTACTCACGCTCTGGACATCTCAGGATCTGCTGGCGTCCAGAGGGAATGAGAGGGAAGGGGGTAGCAGTATGAGCAGCAGCGTCCCTGCTCCTCACATGGATACCGCCATCCTCTCAGTCCACTCCAGAGCGCAATAACGATACCAGGGTGCACCCGCAAGGCTAGAAATATATTCTACAATGGAGACGAGTACAGCTACTACCGTCAGACGCGATCGCAAATTTGTGTGCCGCCGCTTGCGAACTTGGCACAGTCTTGCAGGAGTACCAAAAGAAGACACCATCCGCAACCGCTAAAATATCCATCAATATATCGAGGCACTGCGGCGTAGTACGCGGACATGGCAACGAATTCTTGGTGCGGTCGGTGATGTCGCGTCGTGGTGGAGAGAGCGAGGCGAACGCGGAGGAGGAGGATGATGAGAAACGCGGGTTCCACGAAGTAAGCGCTAGCGCGGGCGAGCCTCGGTCGGCCGGGCCGACCATGTACGCTCGCCCTGAGAGCGCAACGAATCCGTAATTAGCGAAAATACCCTCAGTACAGCCTGTCTACATGTGTTGGGGTGTTGGTCAAAAATGTGACCGATTCGGAGGATCTTGGCAGCCAGGAACCAATTTGCGCGCAGTCGGGGTCATGGTGGAAGAGGGCAAGGAGCGCCGGAGACGAGAAATGAGGATCGCAAGAATCAAGCGCCCGCGTAGGCGAGACGCGTGCTCGGCCAATTCGTTCGTCTCTCCTTGTCACCTCCACCACCGATGGCGTCCGCTCACCCCCCACATCGTCGCGGCGCGGTCGAAATGAGAGAAAACTATCATGATTCGTACTAGTGTTCCATATGCGCTCTAAGATATTGACCACGGCGTACTCAGCACCAGCGGAAGACGTGCGAGCTTGAGCAGCACGCGCTGCATGTCAGTCCACTCGGTGATCCCAGCCTCCACAACCGCCATAGTCTCCGCCTCCTCCATCAACGTCTCGGCCGACTTCGGCAGTCCGTCCCGGGAGTGCCTCAACGGTAAGTAGTTCAGATTTGACTTCGGGCGGCGACGTCTTTTACCTAGGTCGCTACGGTGGCGCTACAGCGCGACGCCGCGGTGGAGACGAGCAGGGGCGACCAAGAGGGGGTCCTTCTTGGCCGCGTCGAGCTCGGCGGGGTCTGTAAGCGGGACGAAGTGCATGGAGCCGCTCTTCCAGAGCGCGAGGAGGCGCGAGATGCGTTCCCCCCCCGCGATGCGGCTGAGATCATCGAAGACGATGTCGTCGGGCCAGCCGACGAGTTTGATGCGGTACTGCAGGACGATCGTGGTGCAGTACCGTTTGGCGGTGTACGCCATCTGCGCGCCTGCGACGCTGGAGACGTTCGCTGACGAGGCCGGGTGCGGTCAGTCCAGGCTCGCTCACGGAAAAATCTACGATACTCACCGAGTCCGCCGTCCATCAGGCCCCTGAGCTCTCCTCGCATCTTGATGTCTTGCTGAGCATCGTCTACGCGGAGCGGGTCGCCTTGGGCACGGAAGACAGCCATTGTGGAGGAAGACGACAGAGGTATGCGGCGAAGTGAGAGAATGCGCGGTAGGTGCTCTGCGTTTCACGCTCGCGAACAAGACGAAGCTGACTGGGGAAGCGATAGCGGAAACACGGGAACTCGACGCGCGATCAGGATACTGATAGCAGACGAATGTGACGGTAGCCAGACGCCGATCGCTACGCCAAATCGGAATATTCGTCTTACGGTGTTCGTCCTCGGCTACGCATCTTGCGCACGTCTCGAATATACCAGAAGGGGTCTGGGATGCGCAGCTAGCCCGGCGCCGTGGTCGCCTCCCATTGCGGTGAGCAATTTCGGCTGCTTCTTTCCATCGGGCCCAGGCTGATCGTGTCTGTTTCGAATAGGAGCTCTCAAGCGTGCACCGCCCACATTCATTCACGCTGTATCCGGATGGTCGTGCTGCCTCAATGCTCGGTACCTATCCCCGGGGCCCTTGACGTTTGACGCTCACTTTCAGTATAATGCTCGAATTGGTCGATCAACTGGTCAAGGAATTGGCCGTCTGTACAACGGGTGAGTGGCGGTCTACGACGATCCCTTGTTATGGATCTCTACACAGAAAGTACGATGGCTCATCTGTGCACATAGCTCCTCCCGAGGCCCGGTCGTGTTCACGGTAGATCCCACTACTCCTCTCGAGGTTCAAGTGCGTTCCTGTTGCGCAAGCGTACTTCGCGAGTATCTG